TAGCAGTAAAGAGAAAGTTTACCAATTTGTAAAAGGTCGTAAACATTTATTTTACTTCTTTTTTACACTTTCCTCTTTGCACTTCCCCACCATCCCCAATCCCCTCAACTAAGAACTTTACACAGTCGAACTTCTTTTTTTTTTTCTTTATTTTCACATTTACCATTCTCTTTATGTAATCCTCTGTTTCGCGAGCAAAAATATGGAAATAATAAACATATACATATCAACAAAATGAAAAGAAGAAATGAAAAAAGAAAAAAAAAAAAAAACAACGAAAAAGAAAAAAAAAAAGAAGAACATCCATATATATATATATATATATACCAGCATTTTTTACCATGGGAGTTGAATCCACACAGCGAGAAGTGTTTCCCACGCAAAGTGTAAAGCATCAAATCCCCCAATCATCAATGGATCCTTCTCCATGAGAGCCCTATCCCCAATATCTATAGACGACATCTCTGTAGATGTAAAGCCAACTTGTCTATCTATATTACTATTATGATGATGATGATCTTCTCCTGTTATTCCTCCCCTTCCTCCACCTGTTGCTGTTGTTGATGTTATCATTATTTCCATTCCCATTGAACTCCTTCCTCCCTTCTCCTCCACACGGGCCGGCAACAGCATCCACCCACAACTCAACACTAACAAGAGATACAATACCCACAGTCCCCGCCCATGTGCACAGTACTGCCACCACAACCACACATTCACTATAAACACTTCCCGCACAAACTCCATAAAACGAATCACCAATCGTAACTTCGGTGTATACCAGCGACGAATAGAAGCCTCACGTCTGGCCGCACTCACCGCAACATGAACCACACTATCATACCATGCCTTGGCGAGATTCTTCACAGGTGAAGCCACCGTTACCCAAAACTCCTGCCAAGCTCTCCACCACTTCATCGTCAGCGATGTTCCCTCCGCCGCGACGGGAAGAACACCAGCACTACTGCTCGCAAACTCCCAAGAGGCAAGATGAGAAACGAGTACAAATGGTCCCATAATAAGCATTTTAAGTGTCACGAGGAGGAGACCCAGGAAAGAGAGAATAATAGAAAGGAATGTCCATAAGAGTTCAAATATAAGTGAAAAGGGAGTATGTAGTAATCGTCCAAAAAATCGTAATGGGAAAAGAAAAACTTCTAATACATAGAATTGAGAGAAGAAACTTGTGAAAGAGGCAGCTACAGAAAATCCAACAGAAACTATATATGTAACTAACATAGATATACGTAGTGTTACCCGACGTTCTACCCAATTAAGAAGTGGTGCTAATGTCGTCGATACAAATTCTTTCATCTGAGGTAAATGTTTATACAAGTCATATAATCCTACAAAAAGAGAGATTACAGGCCAAATATTCACAAGTCCTACAAATGTTAATCGAAAAACACGGCGATAGGGAAGTCCAGTAGAGGCAAGAAAAACTGTCCAAGCTGGCATACCTGTTTCATACATAGAAAGCATACGACGTTGCTCTTTAAGAGATGCTGTATAGGGATGTGTACCTGGTTCTGGTATAAGTACTTCTCGTAATAAGGCATTAAAGTTAGGATCCTCTGAATATACAGTTACTATCGTATCAAAATGTACAGTTGTGGGTGTTGGCATAACTCGAGGATAACTAAAAGGAATCTCATTGGGTTGACTATTACGTGTAGATACAAGAGATTCCCTACCACCAATACCAATACCATTACCACTATTCAAACAAGGAGACTCTTCACTAGGTTTTCGTGCTAATGGGAAATATGGAATAGCATTAGGTGATACTTCTTCTCTTTGTGTATACTTTACTTGTTCATTTCCAATATGTGTCATATTATTATTATTATTATTATTATTATTATTATTATTATTATTATTATTTACAGAATCAGATGGAGTTCTATAATTTATAATGGGTTCTGGTCCGGTAGGGGTTAAATATCCTGTCTGTTCTACACGTGGTATACTTACCTCAAGAGGTTCATTATCAAATAAAGTTAATACTGGACCTGTTTGAAGAGAAAATGAAAGATCTCTTTCTGTAGTGGAAAATGGATTTGTCATGGAATTATCTTCAGAAAACATTCGATCCAAAACATTTGAACTTGGTTGTCTACCACTATTATTACTTTCTTCTTTCTTTATACATGCAATGGCGTTTGTTACCCCTCGACGAACCTGTTGATCAATAAGTTGAAGATCATCTAAACAACCATAATACGCAAAAGCATCTTCTATTGTATGAAAATAATATGCATATACTGCTTTAGTTTCCATTGCAAATCGACTAGAAAGTAAACGAGGACTATAATCAGTGGCCGTAATATCTTCATGTCGTACTTCTACTACTTCCACTCCTCCTCCTCCTCCTCCTCTACGTCCACGACTCTCAGTTATACTACTACGTGTTCCCATAAAATTATTATTATTATTATTCTTTCCTCCATTCTTACCACTATAAACTTCCATGTTAGTAACAGGTGAGTGGGAAAGAGAAATAGCCTCATCACTTTGTAATCGTGGCATCATTCCTGGTGTTCGTATGGGACTTTCACCTACAGGACTAGAGGATGATGGAGGTGGTGCTGGGGTTGTACGATTAAGAGAAGGTTGTCTAAATAATTTCCCTTTATTATACGCAAAGGCAGGAGGTGAACCAAATATTGTTTTTCGAAATCTTCTCCATGCCCCTATAAATCCTTTCTTTTCCTCCATTTCTTCTTCACCTTCTTCCCGTACAGCTTTTGGATCTACTGGACTAATAACAAACACAAATCGATCGCGTGGTTGGGCACTATGCAACCAACGTACGGAGTGTCCCACCACCTCCCCTTTATGTAAACGACGATGACTAAAGTAATCCCATCCACCCGGCACAGTTCGCCAACCGCCAAGCACTAAATAATGTAATAACACCGGAGGTTGTTGATCCATTCCTTCTGGGTAAAATACACTCCAGTGTTGAGGAACTACCACAGTAGTAGTAGTAGGGGCTACTGTTGCTGTTGGTACTCGTATAGAGGTTTGTGAAAGGGTAGGAATAAAAGGCGTTCCATCTGTTAATCCAGTTAAGAAAGATGGTCTTGGTAGTATGGAGATGGTAGGAAGTGGAGTCTTTTCTCGTTTTGTACTCTCTACAGCATTTTTAGCAAATGACCAAATACTTTTTCGAAGGGTTGCACGTTTTGCTGCTTTATGATGACTACTACTACTATTACTATTATTATTATTATTATTATTATTATTATTATTCTCATGGAACTCCATTGGAGGTTCTGTAAAGATACCCTTCTCCTCTTCTTCCTCTTCCTCTTCCTCTTCCTCTTCTTCCTTTTCTTTCTTCACTGTGATGGACTTCTTCTTCACTTCATCACTATTCTCTGGTATTCCACTACGACTAGATCCAATCTCTGTCTCCACATCACTATTTTTTATACCGTAAAATAAAGTGGTAGAGGCATCTTCTTCTTCTTCTTCTTTAGGTTCTACCAATGCATGATCTGTGGCTGTGGAGGATAAGGAGGATAAAGGGGCTGAACTCAGTGTAGGGGCATCTAAAGCATCCCACCGTGGACTCTCACTTCCACTCCCTGTAAGGAGTTTATTCATCAGACTACTATTACTACTCTTACTCTTCACGCCCATTGAAGAGATAAAGTGATGATGATCACTACCCCCACCGCCACTCAATTCTTTCTTTTCTGTACACGCCGAGGGGTGTTTCTTTGTTCTTTTTCTCATTTTTTTCCCCATCATGGCACAACTAAACTAAAATAAAACTTTTTTTTTTTCTTTTTCTCTTTTTTTCTTTCTTTTTCTCTCGCAATTTCTTTCTTTTTTTTTTTTTAGTTTTCGTTTTGTTATTAAAACAAAATAATAATAATAATAATAATAATAATAATCTGTTTCTTTCCTTTTTCAATGGGGATTAT